AAGATTCTAGTACTGGATATCTGCATTTATTGGGCTTCTTTCTCCTTAGGGTTGAAGTCTCTCCTGGTGATAAATGTGGTGCTGAAAATCTCTCTTCCAAGAGACTAGGGCAAAATTCAGTGAGCTGTAAAAGTAATGCAAAATGACAATTAAAGTAGGGCATCCTGGTACCTGGGGGGCCTGACAAATGAAAGTATTTGACTTCTGATGTGCCAGACTTATTCACATAGAGACATAATAACATACCACCCACCCAAATGTCTCACTAGAAACCCTGTATATCCAGGAAGGAGATAGGAATACAAAGTAGTTAGCAAAAAAGACTTCTGAGCAGGAGAAAACAAACAACCAAAACCTAAACACTACGCAAAAGTGCCTATATTAAAGATTATGTAATTTCCCTCTTAGAATAGCAACATCTCAGATCTCTGTCCAGAAATGAACTCTTATTTTCTAGACAAGTCTAACAAATATAATTAAATAGCTTCCAAGAACACAATAGAGTAGAAGTATCAAACTCAAAATGGAAGAGGAGCTGTTTTTGATATACTAATGGCTCTGAGAAGTAACAATATTGAGTGTTTGATAGCAAGTTAGTAGGGACATACGTTAGAAATTAAAGGCAAAAATTCAAAAACACAGCACTTTTGGGTCAGTGAATGTATGGGCAAAACCTGCATGGTATATAGTGATTTATGTTCATAAAGATACTCCTAAGTAACCAATAACTGTGTGATAGGCTTTAGACACAAGGCAGAATGGTTAGGATTTTAAATTAAAGCTTTAGTCCTTACAAGGGAAAGATCTAAGTTATCTAAAACATTCAGCTATCTAGAAGTATTTATTCTTTAGGTTTTGAAAAAATCATGATTCTATTAAATCTAAGCCAAGTGAGAAGGCTGCCCTTACTGAATTCCTAGGATAAAGACTTATAATTAGAGAAAGGATTTGGGAGTAACATATTAAATAGTAGGAATGTGATTCTTATTTACCATTGACATTGGAAATAAAAGTTTTTTCTAGGCCCATTTTTTAATATCAAAATTAGGTTTTTCAGAAACAAATGTTCTTGTCTCTTCGCCTGTGTTCCTGGGTTAACTTGGCTGTCTCATTACAGATGGGGACATTTCCTAGTGAAATTAATGTGACATTTAGAGAAAATTTTCCCTTTAAAATGTTTCACATTATTTGCCATTTAGAATACTTAGAGAAGGGATTGGAATAATGTCAAGCAGATTTTGATTAAATAAGGCTAACCAGGAACCAATATATTCATGCAACAAAGAAAAACTCTTTTATTATTTCTTAAAAAAGTATATTTCTGCTGTGGTTCTGTATCCTATATTGAGATGACATTGGCAGATAATATGACAGCAGAGGTGTCATCTTCTAAATAGCTAGGCTTGCCTTAGCAAACACAGCACATCAGGTTAAAACCTGTGGTGAGTCCTTTGCTCAGGAAAATTCTCTACTCTAGATGTACATTAGAATTAACTGGGAAGCTTTTAAAAAAATACCAATTCCTGGGCCCCATTCTAGGCCAACTACCTCAGAATCTTTTGAGTGGGGCAACAGTGTCTAAAAAAGAAACCAAACAAACAAAACAAACCCCCAAAGTTCTCTAGTTGATTCTAATGTGCAGTTAGGACTGAGAACCACTAGTTTAAGACATGCAAGCTATTTATTAAGAAAAGATTATTTCATTCTTCAGGGTGGTCTGAATATAATTTTTTACTTCACATGAAGCATAAAAATTTACTCTTTCAAGACACAAAGGTTGGCTTTGAATCTTAAATCAGTATGAGCAAGAACACTTGATATAAGCATACATAGATCCATAATATGTCATCTATGGCCACTTAGCTCAGTGTTTTGGACTGTAGTACTAATGAGGTCAGAATAGTATATTTTATACAAATAGAATAATTCTGTTGCATAGGTTGTATCCATAACTCCAATCAACATGCCTCACAAAGAGGCTTGAAACTGGTTATAAAGGCAAAAGACAATGGACAATTCAGCATAGGGATATTGGTTTTATGACTAGTGCTTCTAATTGCATGAGGATGCAGAATGGGGCATCTGCCCATTATGGTTTGTGCTGGTTTAGGGAATGGAATATTTACATTTGAAGGCCAGGACCCACAAAAATGGGTAGCTTACTCTTTGAGTAAAAAAAAAAAATGGAGAAATAAAGATAGGAAGGTGATAAGCTTCAGTGACACTCTCCGACCTACAGTGGCACATCCTGCCTGACATATTTGCTCAGGTTAACCAATCTGTATCCCAGAACCAAGGAAAGAGAATTGTTAAGGTCTTCGCAAACAAGTCTTCTAGATCTGTTTCTTCTTTTAACTCAGTGCCTGCAAGTGGGAATCCTCATGGTGAGATATACTATTACCTGAGGACGATAAATAGTACAATTACCAGGGATAAAATTAGTAAGATTTTTCTTATTTGCCCAAATGTGTGGTTCTGGCACCATGCCTGGAGGTCATGTTTTCACAGAGCTCCATATCTGATGCATAGTGCACACAGGTTGGATGTCCTCATATGCAAAGCTATGCAAAATATTCTATTTGAAAACTGGCTTCTTTAACATGACATTATCTTGGGATATTGCATATGCTTTCTCTGCAAAGCCAGTATCATCTTAATTTGCTTTTTTGCACCTGTGTGTCTATTAACTTTCTTGAGAAAATGATTTAGTAAGTTTCAAGGCTGAGATGGAATGTGTGTATGCTACTCTTTTGTTGCTTGAGTGTGAGGTCAAATTGCTGATCCTGTTTGGGGTATCAGGTTCTCTAGGAAGCAAAGGATATCATGACTCATGATTTCCACCATAAGTCATGAAGTATGCAGTTGAAATTCCCCTTTGGATTTATGGGCCATTATCCCTATTTTATAGAGGAGTAAAGTGAGGCACACAGAAATTAAGTAATTTGCCCAAAGTTGCACAGTAAAACTAACAAATGAATTCCTGAGTGCTTAATCAATTACCTGTTTTTATTGTATGGAATGCTTTTATTGGGGTGGGGAACTTCTACTTGCTAAATTATGTGTTGTACTGACTTTCATGGAAGAGTGCATTTACCCAACACCATTTTTGCCTATTACGTTGGTAGAACAAATTAATTCAAGAAATGCTTGTTGGTTGCCTGACTGATGAATAACTTCTTTTAGCAATACTTCCTCTAGCATTGCATTCTCAATGCAGCTTCAAGTTTGCCTCTTCCTCCTGTAATTATGTTTTCAACAATTTCAACATTCATTTTCTTATGAACAAATTAGAAATGAACTGACCTTTTTGATTTTTACTCTCCCAACTCATTCCTTCCAATAGCAAAATTACTTGTGGTTTACATTAAAGGGGATTTTATCCTCTAGACAAAAACAGTGTGAGTGGCTATTACACAGCCCATCTTCATATAGGGGACAAGTGGCAGGCATGAACATACTTGAGAAGGTACAGGACAATGGTGTGATTTAGTTTCCTTCTCAATACTCTCTCTTCCTTTCCCTAACCTAGTCACCATCCCCACCCCAACCTACTATAGATACTTAGGGTCTTCACCCTGACTGTTGCTTGTTTGGTTGCTTGTTTGAATCTGCTATTACTTGTCCTATTTTCTCTACCAAACTGTGAGCTCCTTGAAGTCAAAAGCTGCATAACGGACAACAGTTTATTGGTTACCAGAGGGGAGGGGGAAGGTAGGTAAGGGTAAAGGGGGTCAAATATATGGTGACTGAAGGAAATTTAACTGTGGGTAGTAAACACACAATGCAATATACATATGATGTATCATTGAATTGTATAGTTGAATCTTATATAATTTTATTAACAAATGTCACCTCAATACATTTAATTTAAAAACAAGCTGCATAAGAACCTAGCACAGTTTATGCCTGACATGTAGTCTTCTGAAAGGTTCTGCTATTTTGCTAGCTAGGCAACTATTGTGTTTCTTTTTCCAGGCACTTTCAGTTGAACTGATTTCAGAAGGCCCTAAAAATGGTGAGAATAGTGAGGATTTCTGGTAGAATGGCAGGTGGAGATGTGTTTGGGCATTTTTCAGTTTATACAATGGTTCAGTGAGAGTGATACTTTACTGTTGGAGGTAAGATCCACTTAACTAGGACTTTCAATTACATCATTGTTGATATTTCCATGCATTCCTACCTTCTAAGTTTGTCCCCCTTTAATCTCCGTAACCTCTGGGTATTCATAAACTGTTTTCCTATCTCTTTCATCTGGCAGGTATTCTGCATTTGCTTTTGTAAAGCTGGGGTTCAGGCAGTCTACTGTAACTAGATTAGACAGTAGTGTTTTAATGATAGGAGCTGAGAGAGGAGTTTGCTTGCAAATTTCATGTTTCACATGAAAGGCTTTGGCACCCCCTGTGGACTGCCCTTCACCCTGTTTTAGGCATAATACTTGTTTGCCTTTCTATCTGTGATAAAACGAAGATTTTCCTGCATAATCAGAGCTGAGTTAAATATCTTAAAACAAAGAAAAGTGCAGAGTTTAAATCCACAGTGGGGGATTACCTTGCCTGTATTTCTATATCTATGGAATAAGTGTTTAACATGTTAATTATCTACTACTAATAAAAATATCTTTGAACTACTAATAAAAATACCTTTGAACAAATTCTTTGATGGGCAAAGAATTGTGTTCACTGGGGAATGGGAAGCAATTAGTTTCTGTAAAGATTGTGGTTCATGCTGTATCTTCCTCGAATTAGTTGCATGGTCAATAGCCAGCCATATTCTAGGGGATGTTTGTGTCAAGTTCATCTTGGTTTGCAGATGAGAGCTGCCTCTACAGTACCCCACCTTAAGGAGGTGGCAGGCATCTCTTAGGCCATTGCTTCACTGTGCCCTTGGTTTCTGATTTATTCATTGCTTCTTGCCCAGTAGAAAAATTCCCCCTAAGTAGGACAGTTTAGCTCTTTTCTTGAATTATCTATGTAATCTTTTTAATTTTTTCCCCATTGCAGACTGAAAACTATTCTTTTGACTCCAACTATGTGAACAGCCGAGCCCATTTAATCAAAAGGTATGTTGGTTCGTTTGCCTATTTTTACAACTAAGCCTGGTTTAATATAAAAAGTAAAACAGGTTAAATTTTTAATGATGCCTTTTTGTGTGTGTGTTTGCCTGTCTATTTATTGTAGAGTATTTGTAAAATTCAGAAAAGCATAAAAAGCTAAATAAAAATCACTGGTAATTCTATCCCAAAATAATCACTTTTGACATTTTATCGTATTTCTTTACATCAAGATGTATGCATAAACAAATTTAAAAAATAAAATTGGGATCACATTAAAATACAGTTTTATGTGGTGGTTTAGAAATCTAATATTAGAAAACATACTTTCAAAATCATGTTGATATCAAAATTCTTGTTGCTTTTCACTTTAGAGAGGCCTTAAATATCTCTCATGTGGACTTCAGTGAATTTCAAGATTTCTATTATTTTGACAATTTTGAAATTATTTTAAAGATATTTTAATGATAGATAAACTAATTATTTGTGTTTTAAAAATCTTTGTAGTTGAAAGAGGGAAAGAAAAGAACTTTTCCTGATTCAACACTTCTTAAAAATATTTAGAAGTGATTCAAATGAAGCATTCAAAGTTGGGATTTGTGTGATTGGTCATAACTCATTTATTCATGGAGCCAAACGATATGTGAATATAGAGCTGATTACTGCCAAGGAAGATTCCATCTAGTGCAGTGAGCAAGAAGGTGCCCAATGGGGACAAGACAAAGGTTTTAGGGAGCTCTCTAAGGAGCGAGAACTAAGCAAAGCAGGAACTTCTTGTGTAGCTAAACCCATTTAGACCATTTAGACCATTTAGATAATGCCTTTATTACTGCTTTATGCAAATATCCTTTTGGATGGTCCAGTGATTATTCTGCAGCTAAAATTGAATTTTGAATGTGTTTGTTAAAATAATAGAAATGAAATACAGATATAAGCAGGGTATGTTAGAACTGCAGTAGAGAAAACCTGAGAATTCTATTTTTTTTTTTTTTTGCTGGCTCTAATTCTGTAAATTTACATCACCAGAAGAGTAAGATTTGAAGAGTAACCTAGCTTGATGTATAAACGACATTAATTCATATCAAGTTTATTTAATGATGCTGCAGTAACCCTTGAAAACATGCTAGGTTTATCTGTATTGGTTTGGAATAACTTGTGACTTTAAGGGATAATTGTTAATTATCTGAAAATGGATAGCCTAGTATTACAGTCATACCATAATTTAGACATTTTTTGAGGGTTTGGGAGGAATCCATTTTGAATATTTTCTTGGCACACAGAATAAAAACAAAAGATGAGGAATGCAAAATTATCTTACCAATTTGTTTTAGAGGAAAAAACAACACCCTCTTTATGTGTGCTGATTAATTTTGCAGCAACTGCTTTGTTTTCTGCTTCACAACTATCATTTCAAAGCTCCTTTTTTAAAGCTTATGTTAAAAAACGGGGACTTGCCTTATCCTCACACGTTTCTTGGGCTAGCTCTGGGTACCTGGGAATTCCACAATCAGGTTAAACTGATAGCATGAGCCTGATTTTCATAGCATGCAAGAGAGCTAAGACTCCTGGGCACCCTCACCATCTCAGGGAAGCCCAGAATATCTAATATACAAGGCAGACAACTGAGATGAAAAAACTTATGTTTAAACATTTTGCTTTTTGGATACGTGTATTACCACAGCAGCTTTGGGACTCACTAAAAACTTCTGATTTTGATTAATTACTCTATATGTTTTTGTTTACACACATAGACACAAAAGGTACAACCTAGACTTAATGGGCTCTCAGTGGAAATATCTCCTAATGTCCGAAATCAAAGATAGTATCTTTTTACTAGGTACCGCCTCTATTAAGAAGAAGCATCTGAAAGCTCAGGGACACACACTTTTTTGTTAGGTTCTGTTTATGGAATCTTGAGGGCTTTGGAAAACCACAAAGGCCTTGGAATTTATGAGATTATTTGACTTTAGGCAAAGCATAATATCTGGAGAATCTTGTGTGCTATGCTTTTCTGGAGACTAACCATTTTTAAATGTAAAATGTGTGGAAAATGTTAAAAGAGTGGTGACTAACATCAGATGATAAAACCCTGCAAACCATGTTCAAATAGTTCACAGTGATGTTTGAAAGTGGTTTTGCCATATGTGGTTTCTTGAGGATCCATTTACAAGCACGGAAAAAGCTCCAGGCCAGGAAATTCTGAATCTGATTATCAGTTTTAATTTTACTATCAAGTTCCTGTTTCTTTGAATCCCAATTCAGTTCTGGGCCAACTTTGAGAACTTCTTTTCCTATCCATTTTCTCTTCTCTATTTACTTTCTACTCATCCAAGATGCTTCTTAGACCCTTCTTTTGGCATTCCCCAGCAGTTAACTGTCTTGGCCAGACTGCTTACATGCAGACTTCTTTTTCCCTCTTATATCTATCTACCTGGGCAAACCAATGGAAAGCCAGAGGTGAAGGGGGTTCTCCTAGTACAAATCTCCTAGTACAAAAAAAATTTGTTTTAAAACAAATTCGTCTTTCCATTGGCTACCAGACTAGTAACAGAAACATTTGTATTCACAATATCATTGCAAACAGGTACCCCTAATTTATTGTCCCATAGAAGTTGGTTTACAAGTCTTTTGTCTCCCAAGAGGTACACAGGTAATAAAGCAAGTGAAATCAGCATTTTTAAATGACTGGCATAAATTGCTATTTGTTTTGAGTAAGTAGACATTTGCCAGGATAGTTTACAATTTGAAGCATCTTGCTCATGGAGTCTTAACAGCCTTACGCAAATCCATTCATTAAGCCAATAATGTCCTTACAGGATTAGAGTAAGTGGTACTTAGTTTGTCAGATGGGCAAACTGATCTTTAAAAGAATTAACTATTGCAAGGTTTGCTTTTTTCTTTCAAGAATGCTTGACTCTCTTACTCACATTACCAATTCTTTAGATGCTAGTAGTCAATCCTTCACTATTTTATTATTCTCTTCTTTATACCTAAAAATCTAAATCCCTGAGGTGATTTATAATATTCAGATGCATGAAACTAATAATCAAATTAAATTAAAAAATAGGTAATCAAATTTTTAAAAGGTGGATCCAAAACCAATTAGGAGGAGCTACATAGAGATCCTTGGTATCCAACTCACTGCAATTAAACATTATATTTACCTTGAAGCTTTTGAGAAGTCAAGACAAAATGATAAGTATACCAGGACATATAGCCTCATTTTTGAATAAAGAAAGAATACTTATTTGACAGGAAATTTTTTTTTTCTTGTTCTTGAATTTTAAGAGAAATGAACATAGTAGACATTGACTATAGTGTTTGGAAGATATAGAAATTGTCTTTAAATATATATTTCCTATATTAATCCTATAAAAAGACTATGGACATAATATTTAATTGGTAATGAAACCATTACCATATGGGATAATGATCAGATTAAATGATAATCATTTATTGAACATTTATGTATATCTGGTACTTTGTGAACAGTGTCTCACTGAGTCCTAAAAATGGCCTTGTGAAGGAGGTTTCAGCAAATGTATTTTACAGACAGGGAAATCAAGGCTGAAAGACCTCAGCTATCAGGATCAAGGTCCCATAGATGAAATGGCAGACTATGGATTATCACTTGTTTTAATGACTCCAAGTTTAGTGCTATTTTCACAGTAGTCTAGAAATCTAGTATGTCACAGGAATAGAGTTTAAAGAACCTAGAGTAGTGATTCTAGGGGTCATTTGGCAATGTCTGGAGACATTTTTGGCTGTATCTTCTGGGAGAGGCATTATAGGCATCTGGTGGGTAGAGGCCAGTGATGCTGCTCAACATTCTGCAGTGCACAGGGTAGCCCTCCACAACAAAGAATTATGCAGCCTAAAATGTCAATAGTACCAAGATTGAGAAACTTTGCTCTAAGAGATGGTTAATTGCATCATCTTTAGACTATATCCCTCAGCATCATATATCTAAAGTGAGTTTTGGCAACTTCTGCAACGAAGTCAATTCAGGTTGAATTCTCTGGCTTAAAGTAACAATTTTGTATTGTGGACTAAAGAAATTTTCATATGCTTCAGATACCTTTGATGCAGGTGGAAAAATTAACATTTATTGTAAAAATGTAGAAACAAGTAATATCATTCAGGCAGGTCATTTTCTTTTACCTAAGGTGCGGGAATGCATGGACCAACATTTTTTCTTAAAAAACAAACTTTGAATCTGTTCAAGCTGTGGGATTAGAATTAATAAGAAGCCCCAAAATCTGTGCCATAAAGCAAGAAATGGTGACCACCTTTAAAGAGTGTGTTTCCAGTTGGTCTTCTTGACCATAAGAGTTATAGGATGATTTGTTTTTTAATAGAACTTCATCCTGGTGGGTCCACAGGGCTGAGTAGCTGCATGACATAACTTGGAGGAGCTGAACAAGTCGCCCTGTTGAGTGATATTAGTTTTGATACAGTTGATACTCAGTTATCCTTTCTAAAAATAATTAGCAAACAGGTCAATCATTCACTCCTATACTTCATTTTCTTATAATTATGTCTTTCCAGTTACTGCCCCTTTGATTTTTTCTTTCATATTCAGGGCAGTGAGCATTTTACATCTAGGTTGGTCATATGTTAAAAATCTGTTGTTATTCCTTTTGACCAAGTTTGGAGAATGACAATGAATCCATTGTGTCCATGGTATAGCTATTCATCATATGTACTGAGTGTTTGTATAATAGCCTCAGAGAACCAGGCTTGTGGATGTTCAAGATTGAGCAGATCAAGTGAATTTTCAGTGTCATCTCCACAGGGCTCCCTTTTTAGAGATAAAGTAGGTCTGCTGGGACTTGTCCTAATTCACAAGCGTGCCCCTTTTCCTTGTTGAGACAACACCACATTTTCTTGAATATGCCTTTGCTGCTTCCTCACTGACTAGGGAATGGATTCACCATTCACTAGGTGTTTCAGATGCATAATTTATGGTTCATGGTGTAGCACAGCTGCAGATTCTGTCAGGACATACGAAGTATTAGAAATAGCAGATGGGGCCTCTATGGATATATCTTATGTATTATTATCTAGTTCTTGAGAAATGGTGTGGGGTTTTTGGATAGTATGCTTAGTGCATTGTATGGTGGATTGATTTAACAAGTGCAAGAAAAATTTACCCACAAACTCTTGAACTAAAAGTTTTCATGCTCTTAGGATAATTATACCCATGGTTTTATTAGAGCCCACTTTTTCTCCCTGTTGTCTTATCTTCCATGCACCAAGGCTCTCCCTTCTCACCTCCCACCTCTCCATTTTTTCTTTGGATCCGTCCTTCTGTCTTTATCAATTAAAACTGACCTGAGTTCTCTGATCCTGATAATCCTTTTGATTTTAATTGCATTACCTCAATTACTGCCACTTTAGTTTTTATAGTTGATTAGTAGACATCTTTGGAGAGGCAGTATACATAGTGGTTAAGGGTCCGGGCTCTGGAGCTAGAGTGCCTGGGTTTGATTGTGGTTCTGCTATATTTTTGCAGGCCGTGTGACATTGTGCAAGTTATTTAACCTCGATGTGCCTCTGTTTTTTTTTTTTTTAATCTGTAAGTGAGAATATCTACTAATATATTTTCGCTTACATATCTGTTAATATACCTTTCTCTTATAGAGTTGTGATGATTAAAAAGTTAATTCATGGTTAGCACTTAGGACAGTGTCTCGTGCATGGTAATATCTCAGTAAATATTAACTATTATTATTTTACTTTGATTATATAAGAGAAAAAACCTTCTGAAATGATTATATTCTTTGCAGGTGGTTGTTTCAGATTTGTGGCTTCGTCTGCCGTGCCTGTAGTAATGCATTGAAGATAAGTGAATGCAAGTATTAGCTGCATCAGCATCCAAGAAAGGGAACCTCCCTGCATGTTAAGTTCCATTATCTTTAAACAGAAATTTCTCTTCCTTCTATGCTGTTGGACAATTAAGTCATGGTTGGCCTCACCACAGAGCTGACATCATCCTGGCTCTGAAAGATTTTAAAAATCATGTCTATCACAGTTATAAATTGCCATTCTTCTTTAATCCAGCAGCTCCACCTTCAAGGACTTAGAGGGCAACAGCCTGAAGGATAGCGGACATGAGGAGAGTGACCAGACTGACAGTGAGCATGACATCCAGCGGAGCCTCTATTGTGATACTGCTGTCAATGATGTGCTGAACACCAGTGTGACCTCTATGGGATCTCAGATGCCTGATCATGGTAAGGGCTGGTTGGATGTAAGTTACAACCATAGATTCCAAAGAAACAAGAATGTTCATAGGTACACTGTACTACTTTACTGTACTGAGTATGTTGTCAAGATGTGTCCTGTGCTCATGCTTCAGCAGCTTCTACAGGGTTTTGAGATGTCCAGATTCTTTTTTATCCTCCCTGGGTGGATACCCCAGGATTGCATAACGTTCAGGCATTTTAAAAGCTGGCTACATATCTATTGCATACATTCTCTTCAATAATAACTGCACTGAGCACATAGGAAATGAGCAAATGCTTTCTCACCAGGAATAAATGCCTCCTTTTGCTTTAGTACATGAATTCGACTGAACAATCGAGTTGCATAGAACACAGCACTAATGAAACCAAAATAGTGGATTTTATTTTCACATCAGGCTGGTTAACTTTACTCAGAGAGACTCTTTTCTCTGACCACAGATTGTATACTTTTTACTAAGAAGAGAAAGTACCAGACTTCCTTCTGTGTTTATGGGGCTGCTATGCCAAATCTCTAGTTACCACACAAATGCATGCCATTGGTCATAGGCGAGACCAGGGTGAGAAAAAATGACAGACTCAGTATAACATTCTGTGCATACTTCAAAGTACATGTCAGGAGTAGCATCCTCATGTATGAAGAAGAGTCTTTTTATCAGGAGGAGCTATTTAAAACTGTGTTATGCGTAAGAGGGTATAAAAACAGCAGAGTTCAGCTAAGGCAGAATGTTCAGATGTACTTGGGCACAAATGTCATTTTCGGTGTTTTACTGATGCAAACATGATAAGTGAACAGCCTGTCTTTTTCAATTAAGAACTATGAATTCAGCTGAGTGTTTAGGCTCAGTGAAGTTTCAGAATGCTTGGCTATGTCTTGAGAGAAGCCAAACACAAGCTCAACTGGAAGCCCCACTGCTAAAACACTTAAAAATGAGAAAACAAAATATGGTGATTATGTGCTGGTCTTCAGCTGTTTCATTTCACTGTCAACAGCACTAAATGCTTTTGTTTTGGTCTTGTAAATGAATCCAAAAGAAAAAAAAATGCACAATCCACAAAACAAAATGTTTCCATGGAAAAAATTAGTTACTGTACATTTTATTAAATTGTCTGATCCACGCCCTCCCCAGTAGACTGAAGTGTCAAAGTCTATAATACAGAGAGGTTATTACTGATTGTGCACTGCTGCCTTCCCTAATTGGTGAGTGGTGATATCCGCAGAGATAATATACTTTCTGGGCAACCCTACTAAGACTAAGATGGAAAAAAAGACTACTTAATTATCAGAGGGTTAGCAATGTGTCACAGGACACAGACTGATATGTATCATTTACTGTTCTTGTGTCTTAAAGAAATGCTATTTTATTTTTATCAGAAAGGGTTTTAGTTAGATGCTTTCTAAAATGAAATGACTTTATGAAAATAAATAGTCATAATTGATTCTCACTTTATGCCTTGCTAGAACAGCATCTGTTTTAATTTCTTGTCAAATTTCTCTAGGAAAACAGTATCAGTGGACTGCAGCTAGTTTTTCTGAGGGAATGTTCTTTACAAATAGGATATATCATATATATAAATTTTACAGATTGTATAATAATGAGAGTATTCTAAAGCAACTGTGTGGCATTATTCCAAGACTCTCCTACATATAAGATGATAATTACATACACACACAAATTTTTTGCTGTTCCATTTTGGCACTTTCATATATATATTTTTTTCAATATTCGATTTACATGTATGTATCTTCATTGTTTCCATTATTCTAGCAGTGGCTGAACCTTAAATCAACCCTTGGGTTTGTCCTTTTCAATTTCGTCGAATTATTAACATTCAGGTACAAAGAGAATTCAGGTATTGCTTACATCTCAGACTCTTCCTTAGGATATTGTAGTACTTCTGAGCTTTCCATAATGATACTTAATTATTGTATCCCAAATCAACTCTAGGCTAGCCACCTAGATTGTTTCACCAAGTCATTCGGGTTGATTTTAGCTACCTCAAACAACAGCAATAATTTCAACAATTGAAAGTTTTTCCTTTGATCCTAAGACACAGTGGTTGAAAGGCAAGCACTGAGTTAATTTACTGAAAATGTCTGATCTTGTAACTATTCTAACTAGAATAGTTCTAGTTAGATTTATTCTAGGGCAATATGATATTGTTGCCTTTTGAGGCAACAATATGATATGTAGTCCTTTTGAGGCAACAATATGATATGTAGCCCTTTTGAGGACTACCAATTTAGTAAGCTATGGAGGAAAAATGAAATCTTCTCTGGACTCTGACTGTCACTGAAAGTCTCAAAGTTTCCTAGAGGAAAAAAAAAAAAAAAACAATTCAAGGTCTCTTCAGTTCATTGGTACTGTCATGGTCATCTCAAACCCAAGTGCCCTGAAAGCCTGGGGGTTCCAGAGCTGAACTATTCTTGAAGTTTGAGTGGATGTCTTTGGAGAAGAGCATGGGTTACAATGATCTTGTCAGAATAACTCTGATCCTGATGATATTTATTCTGATTCTGTTGGAAGAACTCCAAAGTTGGGCCAAAGATACCCAATAGAGTGTACCTTACACCTTTGCTTTGGGAAGTTTGGTTCACCTTGGATTTTATGTCTGTAGCTCTCTCTGTGATGTTTCTAATTTGGATATTAGCACAGAATTTTTCTTTGCACATATGTGGACACAATTGATGGGGAGTCTTAGAGTTCTCAAAATAAAGATAATTTTATGCATCTGTTAATTTTTTTCTTGAGCAGAAACAAGTTGTTCAATGAGCTAATATTGTGTTTCCAGTGTTTGAGGAAAAGGTACAAACTATATTTGCTCTCCCTTTCTGAGGCACTTGGGGCCTGTGCCAAAAGTTTCTTTGGGCTTTGGTCTTACAACTTTAGCTGAATGTAACTTTACTCATCATGAATGTCAAGGGGGCTTCATGATTCTCAGAGTAAAGGCTTACATTCCTTAATTTTCAGTAACTCTTCTCTGAGAATATTTCTAGAGATGGGAACACAGAATTACTGTTTTCAACCAAGTAAGGAGAATGTCTGGAAGGCATTTGTATTCCAAGGGCAAAAATTAGAGGTTTAGCCACTTGACTCTAGATTGTGTTTTGATTGCTTTTTATTGCCCCAACCAAACACATCTGTGATCTGGGTGCAGGTGGAGATAGGAAGGAATGACAAGAATCTCTGCTTTCTGGATTATTATATATCCTGGTATTACTCTGTATGCCTAAAACCAGGTCAGTAGGCTGATGAATTGGCTGAGCTAAATTTTCTGGTTGCCAGGTGACTGAATTACAAAATGATTTATCATCTGCAGTTTCCTTAAATTAATAAGTCTCAATTTGTCCCCAGTACTGTAGCTCTTGTTCCCAGAAAAGGTGATGGAAAATGCCATATATATATGACATACTGTTGGATTGTACACTTGAAACTTACTTGATTTTATTAACCAATGTCAAACCAATAATTTTTAATAAAAAAAGAAAATTCCTTATCCCATACTTTCTATTGGCATGTGACATTTTTTGGAATGCTATCTCTCTGTAGCTCTCAGAGTTCCTTGAGAACAAATATGTGTTGTCACTCAGCAGATTTTACCAGCTGGTTTGGTTTCTGAGGTGATTTGGTGCTGAGTTTGGGAGTCATACTCAAATCCTTTAACCAATGCCTGCCTTCCTTCCCTGAATTTGAGTTATTTGGATTATTTACCACCTCTGGCAGGGACAAGAATTTTGTCTCACGAAATTGCTGCAAACGGTCTCTAAGAAGAGAAATTGACAAGTAGGGTGGTCAGATGTGCCAGAAGTTCATGGGTTTGCTGTACAACTGAGGGTATCATGGAGCTTGAATCTCTTCCTATCAGGGTTATTTCTGAGTTGAGTAGTGCTAGGGTTAATGGACTTCTGTCTCTTCTGTACTTCTTTTCATGACTATTTGTAAAGATGTGGATATTCCCGTTATGTTTGCTCAAATATGTAGTATTGGTATGAAATTGGGGCTTATAGAGATCATGTCCTAGAACTGTACATACTAGTCCCCAGCCCAACTAATTTGTTTCAAGTCACACTCAATCTCTCTTACTTTATGATTTGAATTATTGATTATAAATTCATCAGCTGAAAAGATAACTCTAATTGCTCTAATATGCACCTAAATTGGAGTTCACTGCAACACTGAATTGGTTTTCCTCCCATGCTAATTGATATCAAATGGAAGCAACACACAGAAATTTGCAATAACACTTATCTGCCTTTCACATCCAAATGCACCCAAATGTGATATGATTGCTTTATTTCTGGAAGTGTAGGTTCTTCTGCATTTTACTAATCTTGTTTATTTGCTAGTTTCATCACCTGAATATTATTTAACATGTTTGTTGTGTAAAACATGGATTTGAAGAACTCGATCTGTACCTAATGCAACTGCTGTTACAAATTAGACATGAAAATGTTCTGTAGACTGCATACTATGCATATTCTAATTTCGACCACAGGTGTATTAAGATGTTTACATTTTCACCACTGTACCAACAATATGTAATTTTATTTCTTCTAGCCTTTTAATGAAATTATAATTCAGTGACTGAACATCTCTTCCTTATCCTTTTACCTATCTCCCTGACTCATGCTTCATCTTACTACATTTCCAAACACTCATTTCAATTAGTCTCTTGGCAAAATAGGGAGTTTTCAATGGAGAAGAGTTTGTGAAATTGCAAAGCGGTGTGCTGCTGGGCTCCAGAAATGGTAGCATGGACCAGATGTTCATAGAGTAATTGAAAATTCTATTTTATCAGAATAGCATTTGCTGTCAAAAAGTTTTATCTTTACTTCAACAAAGAGGTTGATTAGATCCCCTTGGACTCAAATTAGCATCTTTGAGGGTAGACATACTGTTTTGCAATTCATGTGGTTATTTCTACCCTGGTTTTGCTCATATAGAATCTTAAAATGCCTTTAGTCTCTTGCAAATATACTAGGTGAAATG